GACAATTTCGAACAAGTTCTTCATTTAAGCAGGTTAGACTTCTCACATGAAAGTACTAGAGAGAAATGACATGATTTGTGGCTCAAAAATATCAAGAGTTGTCTGGAGTCTCATTCTGTGGTTTTCACTCAATAACTGACACCAGAGGAATGACTCTTCCCAAAATTCTGGACTCAGCCCCAGAGTGAGGGGTTGGGACACTCCATCATGGCTCCCTACGGCCTCACCATGTGAGTCAGGCTTTTTACCTGTGTGACTCTGCCTCCAGTTTCCTGCATGTTTTTTTCAGGGTTAACTATGGCAGAAAGATCACACTTCCAAGCATAAGCACAGTGGGCCACAGGAAAGCCAGCAACCAAATTGGTTCTACCCAGGAGCAGGAAAGACTAGTGTTGGAAAGACTTGTTTTCCTTGGGGTTTTAGTTCATGGCAGTTCCCTGAGGGCGTGGGTGTGACCTAGATTATCAGCTTGAAATGCAATATTTAAAATGATTTTTTTAAAGAGGGATTTCTTATTATTACAAGACCAAGAGAGTATGTAAATGCTCCCCAAAATAACCCAGTTACAAAGAAATTTTTAAAAGGGTTAATGTTAAAAGGCTCTTACAATATTACAATGTTTCTTGGTAGATCGGTTTGTAATTGTAAAAGAGGAACACACATTTCACAATCCTTTCAAGTGTAATGTTAAGTTTTTAAAAATTGAGTCACACTGAAGAGGCTTACCATTAAAACAAGTCAAAATATAACCAACTGGAAATACTGAGTAGATCCTATAATTTTTCTGGTTTCTGGGAAGTTTTATTTTTAGCCTCTCGTTAGGAAAAAATGGTTTGCAACTCAAAGAAGCTTAACAGAGACCCCACCAAAATAGCCAGGGTAGACCATCTTCCAGGAAGTGATTAAGTATGGGAGAAAAATGAAGTGTCACACAAAACAGAAAAAAAAGAGAAAGAACAAAAATGTTGCATTTTTATAGACCGATGATGTTTTGAAAGTCATTTATAAGAAAACAACAAAATCATGGCAATTGTTATTGAATAATCTGCTTATAATAAAATACAAGGGCTACACCTTTAGTTTCAGAAGACGAAGCTATGTACAAAGTGGAATCAATGATATATAACTAGAAGTTCCATAAAAATGCGAGATTACTAAAATACTGGAACAGGAGTTTGCAGAAGGGCTAACGACGGTGTGTGGGTGCCAGGTGCTTTGGAATCAATCAATATATTAAACCAACAATGAATCATACTAAGAAAACTAACAAAACCGTGTTAACAACAAATTCTTGAAAGCAGCACCTAGCCAGTCAAACTGAGTGTTTTCTGTATCCTCAGAATGATAAACTATTATTGGAGGCAAAAATTAGCATCTACCAAGTTTATTTTATTTGTTATCCCCTTCTATTAATTATATTTACTTACCTGATGTTAAAAAAAAAAGCCATGGAATTGCAAAGGGAATGTTCTCTAACAGAAATAGATTATGCCCCATAGAGAAGCCATCTGGGCACCACACCTGCCTTACCTCTGGTTTGCGGGCTCAGGGCGGTAGTTCCAGGTGATGCCCTGAGCAGCCACGTAGAACTGCCTCAGCCGCGCTGCTTCGGCCCCCCGGCTCCCCCAGCCTGCCCAGCTGCAGCCCAGGACCACCAGGACCCAGAGGCGTGGGCAGCCTGCGAACATGGTTCCTTCCGTGCTGCTGCCCACCGCCACCACCCCAGGACCTGGGCAGGGATCCCCTCAAGCCGCGATTGCGCCCCGTGCTGCTGGAGGTCTGCTGTCCCAGCTGCAGTGAGCTCCGGGAGGCTGCGGGTGGCAGTGTCCTCCTTCCGTGCAGCTCCCCAAAGCACCGCTGCAGCCCGGGGCTGTCCCCGCCTCCTCCCAGGGCCTTCCCAGGCTTTGGGTTGGCTACGTCACTGCCCCGGTGACAAGGGGTATTAGGGAGAGGAAGCAGATGAGCGCCTGTTTGACTATAGGTGAAGAAAGGGCGGAGCTCAGAGGCTGTGCTCAGGTGGGCAGTGCCCAGCGATTCCCAAACCTCGGGCAAAACTGTGTCCCTGCTCATCCGCCCGTTAAGCTGCTGCACCAGCGGCCCCTCACCACCCTCCCTAAAACCTTCTGGGGCAGAGTCCACACTTGTGACACCACTTTCCCAATCTGAGGGAAAGGGCGATGTGCACTGTCACTGGCACAGAAACATTGTGTTTTCCGGTGGCGAGGAAGCCGGGGCTGTGGGCCTGGGCACTTCTACCCAGCACAGTTCCGTCTAGACAAGGGCCTGTGGCCAGCACAGCAGAAGGCTTAGAGTGTGGCTGAGCAAATCGGACAGGTTTCAGTCCCGCTCACAAGCTGTATGGTGGTGGGTAAGTTACTCAGCCTCTCTGGAGCTCAGTTTTGGCATCTACACAATAGGGATGATAATAATAGTTATCTGTGATAGGGTTGTTGGGCGGATAAACTAATACTGTAAAGTGTATAACTCCTAGCAGCTGGAAAGCGCTGAGCGCATCGTGTATATTACTACGCGTGTGTTTTTCCTGCCTCCAGCGCCCCCTGTGTTTCTTGGGGACTCGGCCTGCTCCACACTGCCGTAAGATCTTGTTTTGCTATTGACAGAGAGTCTGAGAATTGTATTGTCTGAAGCATCGTGGTGACCTGTCTTGGAGTCCCTGAATCTATATGCCTCCAAGCTTCTGTCTTAGGATTTGTTCAGTGGAGTCAATACATTGTCACCTGGCCCCTCCCATGAGGTCACAGTGATGTCAGGCCTCAACAGCTTCCTCCCCCTACACACAAGCTTCCGTCTCTGCTCCTCTGCTGACATTGTTCTGTCAACTCAAAATTTTCTTCCTCATCGCTGTCCACTCTTTAAAGTCCAGTGGGAGTCCTACCTGTATCCTTGATCCTGGGCTCACGTGGACTTTTCCACTCTGAACTCCTACAACATTGTTCAAATAATACGCTCACGTTGATGACTTTGGGATTATAAACTATTCCGGAGCAGGACAGTGCTTTACTCCTGGATCTCCAGTACCTGCTAGGAAACCTTCCAAATTCTCTGGAAAGCTTTTACGAAATGGAGATTCTGACTCAGGATGCTAATCGTCATCCTGTAATACCTGGGCCAGCGATTGGCAGTCAGAGGTGCTCTTGGCAGTATATCAGAAAAAAACCTTTTAAAAAGCATTGTGTGGGCCGGCTGAGTGGCTCAGTTGGTTAAGAGCTCGCTCAAGAGTACAAGCTCTGAGAAGCAGTGGTTTGATGCCCAGCCCAAGCTGAGCTGCCAACAGGTGGCGGGATGGCTCAGCTAAAAAAATAAAAAAAAGCATTGTGTCCATTGTGTCCCTAAATCCCAAGGTTGCTACCAAAATTCTCATGACCTTTAGTTAGTCTGTTTCACCATTTTTCTTTGCATGTTTACCTATGTGTCATTCAGTCTGCATGGCATGTACATTGTCTCACATTTCAGAGACAAGGTAGCCATATTGTTTGGTGCTGTATTTTTGCCTTAGTTCTGGATAACTTTACTGTGTAACTTTCAACAACCTGCTTATGAGACGTGTGATATAAAGAACATGAAAAGCATCTCTTCTTCGCTGTCAGACATGTGGGCGATGAAGGCTCTTTCAGCCCCCCTGAATTGCTCCTTGTGCGAAGGTGACACTACATACACTTGCTGACTGACTGAAGGGTAGAGCTGTGATGAGGACAATAGTAAGTGTGTATCACGTGGATGTAGGCAAAGTGATGGACACACACCTTATTAAACAAAACATCAAATCATGGAACATGCCATTTGGGGGGAATCCTTTTAATTACACATTTGAATATTGGTCTTTGGGTCTTTTGGGGGAGCGTGATGGGGGGAGGGACTCTGCACAGTGACATGTGCCTTCCTGTCTTGATGCTCGGTCTCCTGCAGCTTCTGGTGCCATCCAGAGGCCTTTCTGGAAGCTTCCACAGCAGAGGTCTCACAGGCTTCATAAACAGCAGCTTCGGAGACCCCGGAGATCTTACAGAAATTCCCTCACGTCAGAGACACAGCGTGCCTTCCAACAAAGTAGAGGATGCCTTCCGCCGGTCCAAAAACAGGCATTTTTATTTCTCCACAGTCTGGTCTCTTGGTGAGTCAGACGTTCCAGTCTCTGGCTAATTAGGCTTTCAAGTGACAGCCAGGGCAGAGCCCACAGACCACTGCAGAAATATTTCACGCTGGGCCTGTGCTGGAGGAAGTGGAGAGGCGGAGCAGGAAGGGGTGGTGAGTGGGGGAGTCTGGGCTTGTGGCATAATCCTTCTGCTCTGGTCCAGAGCTAATCTAAAGGAAATTCCATGTCTTTGATTCAAAAGATATTTACAGAAAACTGCAGCAGATCCACTCCAGTTAAAGTCAAGTCTAGCAGGAAGCCTGATATTCAACAATAGAATCCTGAGAGGTTGGGTGAGGTGACCAAGAGAAGGACAGCTCTCTGAAAATGAGCCAAAAGAAAAGAAAATGATGATATTCCCTTAAAAAATACACGCGAGAACAAACACGCTCATCCTATCTAGTATCCCCTGAGGATCAGTATAATCTCTTTCTAGATTCCAGGTACTCTGCCATCTAGGCTACCTTTCTTAGGAAACTCAACTGCTCACTGAGCTCTTTGGGAGGGGGAAGGTGTCAGGTTATTTTTATTTTCCCAGCAGGCTATAGGGGATTGGCTCCATGAAGTCTGTACAATTTCTGCAGCAGTCGTGATTTCTGGTTATCAAGCCTGTGTCAGTACCACCTAGCAGCCATTAATGGGGATGTCAAACATCCGGAAGTAAGTTAGGTCTTATTAGGACCTTTCTCCTCTGGAGGCAAAGGAGAGCCTCACATGAACTCACTTTCTGCTGTCTGTCACTCTACTGCCATACCCGTGCCCTATGCCAACAGTCCCCTTCATGGCTTTAACACTTAATACATGCTCTAAAATTTAACTCACAATTGTATAAAGAAAAGACAAGTTTTATATCTTTCCCCTTTCCCCTTTCTGTCCGATTTTCTTTAAAAATATCTTCATAGATAACTTACCTTAAGGGTTAGCATCAAATGCAGCATTTGTAAAAACTCCATATGTTCCCAGGTGGCTAAAGAACAGAAACACAAAGGTGAGCCGCCTTGGACGCTTGGTCCTTGGCCACAATCCAGCACAAGTTCATCCAGGACCATGGGCCGCCACCCACCCCCAGAATTCTGCTTGCAAAGAGGAAGGGGAAATGCCAAGGAGAGTTTTCAGGTCCCACTTACAAGCTCTGGGAAATTTGCATTGTCCCTTACGCCCAAGTTAAGTTATTGCTGATACTTTAGGGACTGAATACCTGCCATGCCCTTATGGGGCTACAGCCTGTCTGGGGAGAGGAAGTCCTTACAGTTGGCAGTAGTTTTCACAGAGTGGCAGTACTGCCCCCTACAGGCGTTTTTTGATTTTTCATAATGATCAGGTGTTCTGTTGACCTTAATGGGCAGGGACCAGGCGCTGAATGTCGTAACAGGCATGGATGAAAAGAATTGTCCTACACGCCATACACCTTGAGAATATCTACTTAGTACTTATGTAGGTGAAAAAATTTCTGAGCCTGGAACTTCATGGTTAAGTTTTTGGGTTTTTTTCCCATCTTTTAAAATGCAGTTGTCATGTGAACGGAGGGACGATTATAATGGGATTTCCCACTCTTGATGGGAGTTGTTGATGATTGTAGGGAATCAGATTGGCCATGCTTATGATGCTGTTGGCGTCACTGATACAATACCCCTGTCGGTTGGTCCCTGTGACTGCTGGCTTCATAGAGATTCTACCCAAAGATGCAAGCCTTGGATGAACTCATGGCATCTTCTAGTGCAGTGCGCCAGCTTTAGGATTCTGTTTCTATTATAAGTCCCTTTCCCTTTTATTTCTCCTTTATGTATAATTAGGGCACACTGATTTTTAAAAACATGGTGATAGGATATATTACCAGAATTATGGAAGGGGACATTGTAAAAGATTTGTTGCAAAAAAAGGGGCGTTATGTATAATCACCCTGACATGTTACAGTGAATTAAAAAGTCAAACTAGAAGAATGTACTCCATCATAAAACAGTTTCATCTTACCTTTGAGGGTTCAAGGGGCTTTTCCCATCATCTGAAACAAGCAAGAAGACACAAATGATTGGTTTAAAAGGAAAAAAAACACACACAAAAAACAAAACACGAGATAAAAGAGAAAGGTCATCCGTGGTGGGAAGTATTGGGGAAAGCCAGTGGGCAGTCAGCAGGTGGACTGGTTTTTCAGATGGGTTCCTTATCAGGGGTGTGTTGGGAACACTCTCCCCCTGAGCGGTAGAGCCTGTTTTAGGCTTAACTAAACATTTGACAATGTGTAACCCAGAGTCCTCTCATCTTTCTCCTCTTGCTTTTTACTAACAGCATCTTCTCCTGTGTCTGGCCCCTGCCTTTGGCTTCTTGGCTATTTCTGGTTGTTGTTCAGATCATTGGTTCTCGAAACCCATTTCTTTGGCCTTTGAGGTCCCCTCACTTTCCTGTGTCTTTGAGGCCCCCTCACAGTCCGGTATCCTGTGTCACATTCCCTCAGCTATCAGTTGGTCAAGCTGAGCCCCAATGAACAAATCCATACCAACATAACAGTGGCGTTTTCCCTCCCTGGTGACACATGTGATCAGGGGCCTCCTGTCTAATCCAAACCATGAACTCTGAGTAGGACACTTAAAATATGGCAGCAGGCCTGTCAGTTGAAGTGTGTCCTGGCTAAAAATATTTTACAATATTAGGTTAAATAAATGTGAACAAGTATATTTATTACAGGGCATTATTGAGCCTTTAATGTGATAATGAATGTGCCTTTTGGATTTGCAGGAGAGGGACATAGTAGGCAGCTTTTCCCAATTATTTGACCACAGAATCCAAGAAAGTTTACAATCAAATTGGGACAGGACAAGGGGAAAATTACCCATCCTCACAAATGAATTTATTCATTAGTAAAGATAGTAGCTGCTGGTCCCTGTTCCTGGTTCAGAGGGCTTCCTAAAAATGTCTTAAATCTAAAGAAAGAACTTGGGGGAAACGCAGGGACAGTGTAATCCACGCATGCTTATGAAGATCAGGATCCGAGTCCCAGGAGCTGTTGCCTCTGCCTCCCAGATTTGGTTAAGCGACCCCAAATGTTGCATGGAGGGGCTGGTGGTGGCTCCAGGGTGTTTAAACAGTGTCACTCTTTGTTTATTGTCCTACTCACCCGCGTTCCCAGGAGAGAACATGAAGGAACTTTAGAAAACCAGCCCCAGCGCAATGGTGGCTTTGGAAGTGGACCGAGCACCCGGGTAAGGAGCGAGCGGCTCTGCCCTGAGCTGTTACGGATAGGTGTTGAAACTCCTCAACTCCATGACAACCGTGTCATGGACTTCTGGCAGAGCCCCTCTGGATTTGCGCATCCCCGACCCCTCTGATGCCCCTGGTTACTTCCCATGAGGAATGAGTAAGAAAAACCCCGCTAGCTTATTAAACAAAGTTTCTGAACCTACGGACAGGCTAAGCATGTGGGGCAGACAGGGAAAGGGGGTTTCAGCCCTAAAGAAGTGGTTCCCCTCTTTTGTTCCTAGGCTGGCGTTCTTTTACGTGAACAGCCTGATAAGCACAGCTTCCCTTACCGGGTCTTCGTCCACTTTGGTCACTCGCCCGCTTACATCCTACCCTTGCTCCACACGTTTGCATGAGCGCACACATGTCTCTTAGCGTTGCACACCAAGTCATGAATAAAACAGCAGCTCCCCACACCTCTCGCTGCTTTTCTGGCTCCTCCACAGGCCTTTTGTGGTTCAGCCGCGCTGCACGGCTGCACACAGCACTCTCCCAGCTGCCGCGCCCTCTTATTGCTTTCCACGCACCATTCTCTCCACAGGAACCCTGTTTCCGCTCTTTTTTTCCTTGTCAAAATCACTCCTATTCCTCACAGTTAAGCTTAAAAGGCCCCTTCTGACCTATCAGTCTGGTTGGGACACCTCGATTTTGTGTTCTAGCGATACTCAGGTTATATTTGTGTCCTAGCACAGTATTACATTTCAATATTAGCCTTGATTTCATGTGTGTGTCTCCCCTCCTGGATTATACTTGCCTTAATATCAGGGACCATCATTCGGGGTCCCTCTACCTAACACAGTTGGTCCATGAGTGACTGATGCATGAAAGAGTGGTGGAGCGAACGCGTGAAGGAGAGCAGCACAACGCTATTTTAATTAGCTTTGGTGATGACTAAGGTTACCCAGCCCAGAGGCCCCCCAAATGCCGAGGCGCATATGGATGGGGCCGGGTGTGTGTGTGACAAATCCAGCTTTCCAGGCCCATCTCCAGACTCCCCCTTTTTAAAAAAATTTTTTTATTATGGAGTCTCCCTATGTTTTTATGAAGGTGATTCTGATGGGCAGTCAGTTCTCAAGATCATTCCTCACGACCTGAGTTTCAAACATGAACAACTGAAGTGCTTTCACCACCCCACCCCAAATCACATCAAAGAAAAAAACAAGGAGAAGACTCTCCTCTTTACCTTTTTGTCTGAAACGCTTTCTCAGCAGAGCCAGGAGTGTTCCACCCATCACCAAACCTGTCGTAGAAGCCACTGCTCCCCCAAAGTATGTCAGGGCTTCCTGGATGGTCAGTGGCCCCGCTGTAAAGCAAACACACACATGTAAGACTTAGGCATGTGCTGTGTGAAAGGCTGTCCTGCTCCCAGAAGGGTGCTAAGAATTCTAAGACGTGAGATCAGGTAGGCTCACCAAAGGTCCTCGCCGTGCCAACAGCCTGGCATCAGAGAGGGTCATAAAAACCATGTTTCGCCCCTAATGCTTAAATATCAAACATAATTTCCAGAGGAGTTATGGTAAGGACTTAATACAAGGAGTTACATGATTGAATGGAAGACACAAAAACGGAAGTTTGGGCAAATAAAATAAACCATGGGTAATTTTTTTTTTTGCAATCAAAGAGAGTTATAAAACAAAAAGTAGTCATGACAAGCTATAGAGCAGTGGTTCTCAACCTGTGGGTCGCAACCCCCTTTGGGGGTCGAACGACCCTTTCACAGGGGTCGCCTAAGACCATCGGAAAACAAAAATATATTTACATTACGATTCATAACAGTAGCAAAATTACAGTTATAGAGTAGCAAACGAAAATAATTTTATGGTTGGGGGTCACGACAACATGAAGAACTGTATTAAGGGGTCACAGCATTAGGAAGGTTGAGAACCGCTGCTATCGAGGAAAAAAATGAAAAGAAACTAAGAAAGATGGATGGATGCAGCAAACCTTACACACAGATGGCACTTCATTAAGGAGGACCTCTGGTGTTTATAGAGGTGTGAGGTGAACAGAGTTCTCCTGAGATAAATTGGGAATCTGCATGAAATGACCTCCAGCTGAAAGCATTTTGGAACTTCAGGATGTATGACCCACACACTTTAAAGACATGAGAGGGTTCATTTCACAAATCTGAGCTCTGAAACAGGTGTGGTGACCATGTGCACAGAGTCACTGATTTTCATTCCCTCTGCTCTGATAAGGAAAGATTCTGCTTGAATCGTGTGAAACACGTAAATGCAGGGGAACCCAGTGATGGAAAGTGGGACCACTGTCAGAAACACACAGAGAAAGCACACTGCTTTTCTTATTTTTCCGAGCGTGACTTCCTAACAATGTGAAAAATATACCTTGGCAGGTTGGCATGGCAGCTGACCACTGGCCATTCTCTTGGCACGCCGTTCTCACTGAGCCATTCAGCAGCTGACCCTCCGGACAGTGGAAGGTGCAGGATGACCCATAGCTGAAATTCCCCCAGGGGTTGGAGCAGTTCATCCGTATTGGCTCAGTAATGTGCAGCTTGGAGCATTTGACAGCTGAGGAAGAAAGAAAGCAGGAAAAACAAACATGTAGAGTGACAGTAAAGGAGACTATGGTTTCAGTTGTAACCTGGCTAGCCTTGCCAATGGATGAGGTAGAACAGAACAGGCCAGAAAGGAGATGAGCCACTTCTGACATTCACTCAAGCTCTGCCAACGTCACATGTATTAGGACATCCACTCAGAGAATGGTGGCCAAAGAAGTGGGGTGGACAGGTAGCAGCGTCCAAAAAATACCTGCTAAGGGACTGATCGATCTTGTCTACAAAAACACTATTTATAACATTTTCCTTCTCAAAAATACTGTTCTGAAAGTTATTGTTACAATGGTTGGCAATTTGCTGGCATGTCAGCACATGTTTATTAAAATATTTAGTCAGTATTCGACATAGCTGGACTCTGGAAGTCTGAAAGAAGTAGAGACCACTACCCTCTTTAAACTATTTTTCAGGGAACTTCAGGTTAGTCTCCCTAATTTGTGGATGGGAAACCAAAGCGCAGGAAATTAAGTTTAATTCAAATGAACATGGTTGGGCAATAGTGCCATTTGCAAAGCACCGTGCTCTGCTTTGTGGGGAATACAAAGACGAAAGCGACATATGCTTCATGGGTAGGGTGAGAGCTCTTCGGGAGCACCTCATGTACTTCGTCTTTTCATTTAGGCTCCAGTTATTAAAATATGGATGTGTACACGGTCACGTGATTAATAGAATTGCAACCTGTATTTCATAATTCATGCAGCTGGTTTCATGCTGAGCATGCTTATTGTTCTAACACATCATTGCACATTTACACATGTTTTCTCTCTTAGGTCTTTGAGTACCAGGGCGTTAGCTTGTGACACAAGAAAGGGGAGAATGAGGTGCTTGCCGCCTCTTCTTCTAATTGGGATTGGTGTGGATTTCATGGAGGAGCTGACCCTTGAGGTGGTCATTGGGCTGGGCGGGATGGCAACAGGCAGGTACAATGACTAGCATGTGCGCCCACCAGAAGTTAGCGTCAGACCTGCTGCCTCCTTTCACGTTATTACCTCTGCAGGCTGGCGTTACTGCTGTCCATCGTCCTGACGGCCTGCATCTGAGAGCACTGTCTCCCAGGAGTGTGAACCCTGCTTTGCATCCAAAGTAGCAAGTGGTGTTCAAACCAAAGATCCCCAGTCGATGCCTACAGGACATTGTTCCCTGGCCGGGAGTGAGAAGGGCTGGGCATCGCACCTCTGCAGTAGGAGCTGGTGCTATACCTGTTGTGAGAAAATGTTTCAATTTAGAGAGCTTCCGATTAAAAGGAGCATAATAGAGTTAGGACTGTCGTGGAATAACTGCCTTGCGCCCCTTTCCTACGCAGAAAGAGGACTTCTCTCTACTTCAATTCCTTGATTTGAAAAATTGGACCAGCGACTCCACCCCTGGACTCTCTCCTCGCAATGAAGCGATGGAGCCCAGTCCCTCAACCCAATAAAATTCTTTGAGACAAAGAGGCCAGAGTTATGAAGGAAAATTTCTGCTTAAGAATCAATATATCTTTTATTCACAAATATAAAAAAGAGTCCTGTTGCTCCCTACACATTTTTAAAATCCATGCTCTATGCTCCCCGGACCCTATTTCATAACAAGAATTAGTGCAATAATAATAATAATTATAATAATTAATATAATATAATATAATATAATATAATATAATATAATATAATATAATATAATATAAACCTGCCACATAGTAAGAGCTATTTGTTACTATTGTGGAAGAAATTTCCAGAAAGGCTGCCCTAGTGGATGTGTACTACATTACCCTCACAGGTGGGTGGCAGTGCTGTCCATCTTCCAGAAGCTGTGCACTTAACATTGTTGGCCCCCTCCAGCTTAAAGCCCTTGTGACACGAGAATTGGCAGGTGGAGCCAACGTTGAATTCTCCATGAACGTCAGAACAATGCAGACTTCCCCGCTCTGGGGCAGATAACTCTGGGCACCTGATGGCTGCAGAATCAAATTTAAAAATGTCACAATCTTCACGTTTATCCAGAAGCTTTGTTTCGCACCAAGTTCATTCATTCATGTATTCAACAAATATTTATTGAGCATCCACAGTGCCAGGTGTTTTGCTAGGCAGCAGGTGTTCCACAATCAATATGGCAGATCACTTACTACAGGGGGCAGGAGAAGGGATGGGGGGCTTGGTGAGGGCAGTACAGGTAGAAGACACACAATGAAGAGGTCTAGGGTTGAAGCAGCCACACTTGAGAGCTGTTTCCCCTTCTTGCCTGTATACCTTCTGCCCTGCACACCTTGGCGGCCCCCTCGGCGCCTCCCTCGGCTCCCACTATCCCATCTGTATGAGTGCAGTCCAGGATTTCACTTCTGCCAGAGACTGCTACCTCTTAGGTGTGCTGCCATCTCCTCAAATCCCACCCATCTAGAACTGCAGTGGCCATCTTCTGTCCTACAGTTTCCTTCCCAGGCTGTTTCTTCCCAGCACAGCACCACGGTGCAGGAAAGCTCAGAGCCTCCCAGCCAAGCTAGATCCGTTCCTGGGAATTTCCCGAGCTGACGTCGGGGGTTATTCCCTCTGGTTCTGGGCTTACACTGTGCCCTGATTTCCTTTCTATTTCCCCCGAATGAAATCGCACCCACCCCCTAGGATCCAGCTGAACGTGGCCTCTCCAAAGCCCCTGCTGGCCACCGCAGCCTGAGGTCTTCTCGGAGCACATCAGCTTTCTGTTTGCACACATATGCTGTCATGTCAGATGCCATTTCTTCCCTCTGCTACTAGATGGAAAGCTCCTAAAACCCAAGAACTGCAAATCTCTGTGTGTCCCGCGGTCCACACAGTAGGATTCCAGGTGGTGCTCAACCACCATTTGCCAAGTGGACGAATAAAATTTTAATTTATTTACCATTTCCCTCACAAATTGCTTTTATATATGATTGCAGTTATATATTTCTCTTGGCATCATGTCTAGCTCCCCATTAAATTCTCAGACATAAGGTTATTATCTAGCAACAAATATAGGGTTATTGACAAACTGAGTGACTATTCTTTCTTTAAATCCAACGCTGTTCTGAAAGCAATGCCTTCGTCAGGTAAGGCTCATTTTGCTTTAAAAAGCAAACAAACAAACAAACAAACAAACAATCACTTCTTGAAGTCCTATGCACGGCCTCATGGAAAACTGAAACTCATAGACACAGACAACAGTTTAGTGGTTACCAGAGGGTAAGGTGGGGAGGGGGGTGGTAGATGAGGGTAAAAGGGATCAAATATACAGTGATGGAAGGAGAACTGATTCTGGGGGGTGAGCACATATGCAATAGATAGATGATATATTACAGAATTGTATACTTGAAACCTATGTAGTTTTGTTGACCATTGTCACCCCAATAAGTTTTAATTAAAAGAAAAAAAAGAAACAAAAGCAATATGCTTGGCTTTTATATACTGGCTTATATGTTTTTCAGTGTCAGGCTGTTCACTGAAGGATTGTGTATCCTTATTGCATGAATCCATTCTGAAAGCCAAAGTAACATACTGAATTTCAGTTCAGTACTCTCAGATTTTTGAGTAATTGATAAGTTCATATCTGGCAGATCAGTTCCATTTATCAAACATTTATTAAATATATCTATTGTTGTAAGTCATAGACATTAAATCATCCATGAACATTCTCACTAAAATAACTTTTTAAGAATCTCCCAGGACTTCATAATTAAGCCCAAAAAGATGCGTAATGTCAGCTGCCTGAGAGTGGGGGGACCTTGTCAGCGCTTTCCAACACTGTATTCCAGGGACCAGGGACTGAGCCATAGTAGAGGGCTTCTAAAAATATTTGTCAAATGAACGAAGTTAGTGAGCACAATTTAATTTGGATGCCTTCTTACAAATACTTTTACCTGGTTTGAAAAGAACCAAGATGAGCTACTATTTGAAAAAATGGATGGAAGTGACCCCTAGTATACAGAGAAATGACGACAGCGTTCAGTCCACTGGGAGACACTCCTTAGGTCTCAACTTTGTCAGTGCTGCTCTGCCAAGGTTATAGATACAGCCTTGTGTATCTGTGAAAGCCTCTGGACCCTCTTATGTAAAAACCAACCTTGTCCAACCAAAGGCCTCTAAATAACGCTAAGGGTTTGACTTTGCGTCATGTAAGGAAGCAGGTTTCCCTGTTTGAGAGGCAGCGTTGCTGAGGTTTATGGAAGCCTCACCCAGATGTGGCTTCTGGTGGGCACCCAGCAAACACGGGCTGAATTAAATTTGTGGATCTACCAAGGAAGGTGTTGAAGTGGAGGGGCCTGGTGCAGGCAGAGGAAGAGATTTTGATGAAGGAATGATCTCTGTGAGTAACTTTTAAAAGTGGTCATAGCCTAGAGCCTCTTGTAAAACTTTACTCAAAATTGAAGAACTGGAAGAGAAACAGAGGACAGATAAGGGTTGCTTTGATCACATGTTTAGCGCTCTGTATTCATGGATTCCCAAGGCAGAGCTGTCTACCATAAGGGTCTTTCCTGGTGTTTCTCTGTAATTCTGGAAGTAGGTGTATATGATTGCAGGTGAATTCATGGATGTTTGTGTCACTGGCACTGCTCCATCAACTTACAACATATTGGTTTATAGTATCTTCAATGGATTTAGTGTACTCTTCCCTGTTGCTTTTTTTTTTTTTTTTTTTTTTTTTTGCTGAGCCATCCTGCTTCCTATTGGCAGCTCAGCGGCTGCTCAGCTCGGGCTGGNGGCTGCTCAGCTCGGGCTGGCCTTGAACCGCTGTTGCTCAGAGCTCAAACTCTTGAGCGAGCTCTTAACCAACTGAGCCACTCGGCCGGCCCCCCTGTTGCTTTTTATTGTCTCTTTTTACTTGAGTTGAATAAAGTTTTGTTGAGAATTTTGGGGAAAGAAGATAGGGTGGAACTAATAAATATAGGTTGGCTGTTCTAAACTCAAACTTTAAACCCCCTTGGAGTCAGAGAAATGTTGGAGTGAAGAAAGAAAAAAAATGGAGACTGAGGTGGAAACACAGGTATTATAAAAGCCAGAGCCCAAGATCAGGCTCTGACACAGCAGACAGTTGTGAGGCCCCTCGTTGACTAAAACCATGGTCAGGGTTGGTTCTGGACACTGGGCAGCGCTGGGCCTGCAGGGAGGGAGGCAAACGCCTCTTCTCATGGAGAAAGGGGGGCTGGGAAGGAGTGAGGGGGGATGGGGGCTTCAAAGCTTACAGATTTAAAACCGTGTTGATTGCATATACGACTTAAAGCGTTAGTGTGATAATTCCTAGGGATATTTTATTCTTTAGCCTTAAAACAGCCTGTGGGACAACAGGGCTCACGATCAGTGTCGATGGAACAAACGTGTGAGAAATGGGTGGATGCGCGAGGAAGCACAGGCCCGATGCTGTCACCTGAGTGTCCTAGTCCCCGGGCGGCTTGCAGTATACCTTTTCGACAGCAGATGGCAGCATTTTATGCCCTTTAACCTGCAGAACGCTTGACTAGGAAAGCGACCCGGAGGTCACCTGGTCCACCCCTCTCCTTTTGGAACCAATCAAACTGGTGACTTTCTAAAATGGTGGCAAGGAGGGGAGAGCAATGCAGGTCCTGGGATATTAATCTCGCGCTCCCTCCACATGGAAGAATAAATAATATTTTAACTGTTTTTCATACAATGCTAATGAATGTCTATCAACATGTTGTCTCATCTAATCACTGGGCACTGCTCTTTCTAAAGTTCATGTCAGCAGTTATAACTGCAACCTGGGGAGTGGAAAAGAGTAAGTTTACGAGCGGCTGGCCCAGGATGTAGAAGCCCTGCTACTGGGTGGCAGTGTGGTGTGGTGGTCAAAACACTGGCCTTTCCTCAGACTAGACCTGGCTTCGGATCCCAGCTCTCCTCATCTCCTAGCTATGTGGTCTTTGCTTGCTGTTTATCCTCTCACAGCCTCAGTTTCTTCATCTTTAAGATGGAGATAAAAATAACCATGTTACAGATAGTTGTGGGGAATTGAAGGTGATAATGTATACAAAACAGCTGGTTCTTATTACACAAGCAAAAAATATGAGCTGCTATTGCTGGTCTCGTTATTACTGAGTACACTGAACCACAAATTGGCACAGTGATGCTTTTTGAGAGTTACCATGAGCTATGAATTCATTAACTCAGTAAATTTCTAATTTAGAGGGTACTGTATACTAGGTATTGGGTCAGCTAGATGCTTTGGGGAAATCAAAGACTGATAAGATCTAGGCCCCACCTTTGATGATTCAAATAATTCACTATCAGTAGGGCTTGTGCTTGAGTCAATATTACCAGTAAGTGATACATTTCAATTCAATTATGAGTCCCCTCAAGGAGCTTATCAACTTATAATACGTAGTGGGGGAACTACACAGGGGTTAGGCCATGAGATTCTCGAGGGGCTGGGACGAAACCACATCCACCCTGAATGAGTTCAGGGCCTGGGGCTCGGCGTGCGCAGCGAGGGCGAATGCAGGGATGAATGATGAACAGCGTAGTCGAGAGAGACTCGGTAAGGAAGTGAAAGCCCCAGTGACAGAGCTGAGCATCACCGCTCACTAACAGTGTAAATTTTGACAAGTTACCTGACCTCTCTGAACCTGTTTCCTTATCTATAAAATGGAGATGGTACTGCCTTTCCTCATCATTTCAGAATTCTGGTAAACATCAATGCCCTATGACATGCAAATACTTTATAAAACTGTGACATGTTTAACTGAAGTTGTGGAGAGAGAGAGAGAGAAGGAGGGAAAGAGAGAGAGAGAGAGAGAGAGAGAGAGAGAGAGAGAGAGAGAGGGAGGGAGACTGCTTTCAGTCTAGGTTACCATGCTCGGTGGAGAGTGTGTTGCCTTCAGCTCCAGGCAGTTTTACACCAATCCCTGATTTATAGTGTTGCCCAAGAAGCCATGAGAAACCAGACCAATGACCCTACCTTCACACATTGGTGGGGAGCCCGTCCAGTGTCCAGATGGAGTACAGTCCAATCTTTCTGGTCCAGATAAAGAGAATCCCTCATCACAGGTGAATTGGCAGGTAGACTTATAGCTGGAATCTCCCAGAGGTTGGACACAGGTCATCGTTCCGTTCTGAGGGCTTAGCAGAGGTGTGCAGGTAATGGCTACCAAGGCAGAGGAGGAGAGAAGAGGTTATTTTAGAACTCGGCAACCTGAAATCAGTGTGTGTGTGTGTGTGTGTGTGTGTGTCCTTAACACACAGGGCAGCATTTGGTTAGAAGCAATTGTTTGAATTTGGTGGTGCTGTATCGCCAGTTAGAGGTCATGTAACCTTAGCAACAGTTCACAGTTGCTTGACACCCTGGACTGCTCACCCTCGGAGAGCTTTTGGGGTGATGTTAAAGGAGAGCTGGTGCTTTGTTTGGAAGGAGCAATGCAGCTCATTTCAGTGGCCTCTGGGTAGGAGTGAAAGTGGCTGCTTCCTTACTACTTTCTTCATCAGAAACAGACCTATTGACCTTACCAGAACACAAAGATAAGCCATTGGAAATACGAAAATGGAGTACAATGCTTTCCTTCCCCTCCAAATTTCCTTTCCCCAATCAAGCGGTGTCAAAAATCTAGGTCCGAATCCTGGCTCTCTTACTCCCTAGCTGTGTGTCTCTGGACAAAAGGTTTTCTGAGCCTCAGTGGCTTCATCCATGAAGTTGGGAAAATAATAATCCTTGCCTCGAGGGAATCCTTAGTTTTATTTTTAAAAATAAGTTAATTAAATTATATGTAACAATTAAATTTAAAAATGTTTTTAAAACCATGGACACGACATAGGCACTTCATATAAATAGCCCCCTGCAAATGCTCTCCCCACCTGTCTCACCCCACAGACAAGGACCAGCCTCAAATGACGGCTTGTTCACTTGCAAAAAAAGGTAAATTAGATCTCACAGTTCTTTGCCACAGTTTATACTTGTAGAGTTTGAGGTGCTCAGGGACTTGCTTGGGTTGGAGACCATGCTCTGTGACTTCTGGCAAGTCACTTAACCTCTTGGAGCCTCAATATCTTTCCCCTTAAATGTGGAGAATACCATTACATAGGCCACAGGATTTTTACGAGGGTCACAGTGAAAATACTGTAAGCAAATGTCATGGGTCAGATGTTAGTGGTAAGATGTCCCTCTGCTAATGAATGAAACGATAAAACCCGGATGAAACATGTTGATGTTAAAAAATGAAGACTAAGTGAACACGTGGTTTAGGGTGTTTCTTCTTCACCGTTTGGCCTGACTGAACAGGACAGTGGCTTGAGGCCAGGGACGTGGCAGCATGGCTGAGCCTGGAACCATTCTCCAGCCACCAACGAACTGCCTGAGGTTTCGAGAGCATTTTCTATACCTTTCTCTTCCCTTCATCACTTCCCCTCTCCAACCACATTCCGCCCAATCTGATCAACTTGTCTGAAAACCTAGTTCTTTTCTGCCACTTGAAAATTTTTTTTGTGTTCAGTGTGTGTGGGCAAACGCGGGGGCGGGGGGGGGAGTGGTGAGGGACAAGTCAAGAAGCCTGTAATCTGTAAGGACAAATCGGAAAGGTCTTGTGACAATGGAGTCCGTTTCCAGCTCTTCTGTGGCCATGCCTTCCGATAGCTGGAGTGGGTACACAGGGATGGGAGGGGCATTGAAAAGGGAAATTGATACACTGTCTCAGAAGTATTACAACAGCTAGAGAATTGCAAGCCTCCCTCCCGGCACCTTCCTGCCCAGCCCACATGTGGGTATTTCACTCAGCACTCACCCAGCAACAAGAGGAGAAAGTTCAATCAGAGTAAACAAAGCACCGAAAGCAGAAGGGGACTGGAAGCTCACCGGAAGCTGTGGTGCATGCCGCCCTCCTTGCTGCGACATGCCCACAAGCAGGGCAGTATGGGGCAACGCATGGTGACCTGTGCCCCACATAGCCCAGGGGGTCACTGCGCTAGCCCTCTTCAGGGACCCCACCTTCTTCCCCAAAGCTGTGCAGACTTTGTAACGTATCCAGGCTTCAGTGGAGCCAGGATGAGAGCCGCGGGGACGAGGTCACAAGCCTCGCCCTGGTCCATCCAGACCCAGCTCGGAAGGTGTCCCCAACCCCAGCTGCGGTGGCTTGCCATGCTCTCTCTGCCTGAGCACCAAGTACATCCAGTGCTGCTGAGTTCATTCATTCACTCACTTATTTACTGACTTAACAGTGGTGCGTGTGCACGTGTGCGCTTGTGTGTGACCTGCGTAGCCAGTGGTTTCCCTCTCCGTGAAAAACATGCATCTGCCTGCCTTTACTCAGATGTTGAAAGCCCATGCAAAGCAAAAGGCACGGCCAACCACGCAGAATTATCAAGTATTTTACCTATTTAATTGTATTATTAGAATCATCTAAGAGTCATAAAAATACTGATTGCGTGGAGGGGAGGGTGGATGGAGAACTAGTGGAAGAATTCATGCAAGAAAGTGGGGGTACTGAAGAGGATTGTTATTTCCCTGTTTCCTTATGTTTCTGTAGTTTTTATAAATGAAAATCTTGCGTTTTAAAAGCAGTATTTGCCGTACGTGTAACTAAAAACCACGTAAACATTGAGTGGAAAAATGAAAGGGAAATATAAAAGCATATATCCATCCTTCAGTCCCCAAACACAATGATCAGAGCCAGTGGATTTCATATCATGTTGATAGAACCCACTGGTTTTGTTTTCTATCAAGTGCAATACACATAGAAATGCTTATGCCGAATATGCACTTTTTTTCAATGCATTTTTTATTAGATTTATTGGGGGTGATGTTGGTTAGTAAAATTGTATAGGTTTCAAGTGTACACTCCTATAATACATCATCTGTGTATTGCATTGTGTGCTCACCACCCAGAGTCAAATGTCCTTCTGTCACCATGTGTTTGACCCCCTTTACCCTCTTCTACCTCTCCCGTCCCCGTCTTTCTCTCTGGTAACCACTAAACTGTTGTCTGTGTCTATGAGTTTTTGTTTGTTTGACTTGCTCATTTGTTGCTTTCAGTTTTATATCCCACATGAGTGAAACCTGTACTCTTTTTATTCTGAGGATTTTGTAACCTTGCGTGTATAGATGAGTTTTTTCTTCCTTTTTTCATCACTCTTCAGTGTATCCTAAGTCTGTTTGTCCAGCCTTACACAGCATTGGAGGATGTTTGCAGGCAGGCACCTGTAAATCCTGCCCCGCCCATTCCACTGTGACCCCCGTGGGTGGCCCGCCTTCCCCACGGTGCTCCGTGGTTCCCAGGAGGAAAGCACCAGGCCCGCCTCGGGCCAGCCATCCTCAAGCCGGTTTTGTATTCTGGCCTTTCCAAATATTTCAGCCAAATGAAAACCGTTCACCTGGTCATGATAGGAGCCTCGGATCCTGCTACAGGCCCGGGTCCATTGTTGGCAGGAGCCGTTCCTACTGCCCAGCATCCTGCTGTTCATGTGATCTGCCCGCCCTGAAGGCGCCTGCACTCAGAATCCCTGGGTTCCAGGGGGAAAGTGTTCATTCATTGCCCAGTCCATTTCAAGTTTCTGTCCGCTAGACAGTTAGCACCTCTGAAATGGAGCCTTTTACAACCCCACCGACAATCCATCTTACCTTGGCATTTGGGAGAAGGAGCGCTCCAGGCCCCAGTAGCCAAGCACCGCAGCTCACTCGCTCCCACCAGGAGTAAGCCTCCGTCGCAGCTGAAGCGGCAGGTGGACTGGTACTTAAAGGTGCCCAGGGGGTGGGAGCAGCTCATCTGGGCCTTGTTTGGAGCCGTGAGATCCCGGCACGGCAATGCTAGGGGTGAGGAAGGAGGAAGAAAGGGGGTGAGGAGGCAGTGAGGCGCGGTGCTCAGTGATTCTGACCGGTAACCCTTTCTAGTGCCAAGAACGAGGACTTCTGAACTGGGCATGTCTAACCTGGAGGATGACAAATGTGTCCTCTAATCACAGTGGCACATGAAGGGTTTTATGACAAAAATGCTGGGAGCCACTGTTAAGCATTTTCACAATCTGTTTCCATAATTTTTAAAGCATCATACTTTTGGACCCAAGAATCTATGCTGTGTAATCAAGATGCATATCAGTTCAGAGACTTTTTTTTTATGAAGACATTGTTTGTAAGAGCAAAATACTAAAAACAAACAAATGCCACTCATCAGAGATTAAAAATAAATTATGGTGGATCCATGAAAGGACTAGTAAGTCACTAAAAATGATCTATTTTACCTTGAAAAGATATGGAAGGTGTCTTATATATTAAGTGAACAAGCAGCGTATAAATAGCATGGTCTCAATCATACAAAACAGCTGGTCATATGTGGAAAGAACACATGGACTCAGTATCTGTGAAGTCTTGTCTGTAAAATGGAGTGATAATTATAAGTGCCTCGTGGTGTTAGACTAATGTGCTCAATAGCAATCACTTGCTATGATTAGTATTAGTATTAGCAATAGATAGTAGTAATATCATTAGAGCTATGCGTCAGACGCAGACACTGACTCTCAGACGGGAAAACGCTGGGAAGGCTTATCCGAGGAGTTATTGAGACCCCATCTCGGGATGCTCAAACAAACATCCACCTGCCTCTTCTGGGTGATTAGATGGCTCCCTGGTCCCTGGCTGGGGACGGGAATGGCTCCATGATTTCTTAAGACCCCTCCCTTTAAGCGTGGCGGAGGGCTCTCAGTGTCTCTGTCTGTCGGACGGTGCCGCCACAGCACATGCCTCTACCCTCCCTGAGCCTCACCAGCATGGTGCATGGTCAGCTACATTTTTTCCCCCAAGGTTTTCATTGTGGTAACATACACATGACATAACATTTGCCGCTTAGCCATTTGTAAGTGTGCAGTTCATTACTATCACGTCCGTTCACACTGTTGTGCGCCCATCACCACCGTCCGTCTCCTGAGCTGTTTCATCATCTCAGACAGAAACGCTAAGCCCACCAAACACTCACTCCCAGTTCCCCGCCTCCCAGCCTCTGGCAACCACCGTCTACTTTCTGTCTCTATGACCCTGACGACTCTAAGTGCCTCGTGGATGTGCAATCACCTGGTGTCTGTCTGTCTGTGACTGGCTTGTTTCAGCATAATGTCTTCAAGGCTCATCCATGTTGTGGCAGGTGTCAGAATGTCCTTCCTTTTTAAGGCTGAGTCATACTGTATTGCATGTATGCGCCACATTTTGCTTGTCTGTTCACTTGTTGATGGGCGCCTTAGTTGCTTCCACCTTTTAACTACTATGAATAATGTGTTATGAACATCGGTGTACTAATCTCTCATCCATGGCCTCGCTTTTGAATCAGGGTGTACTTAGAGACAAGGGATTCACATAAGTTGTCCAGGGGTCCTAGTAAATGGCAACATGACATGCTGGCATTGTACCTCCCGGACATGACTCCTGTGTGGGGCACCCCTTGTAAAAAAATAACCCTATATGCCTTAGTTCTCGTGTAAGAGTAAAAAATTGAAAACAGGAACCGCTGACAGTTCACCTTGTAAACTCAGATCACAGACATACGATTTATAAGAGAATGCTATTATCATTACCTACATTTCTAAAGCTCATAGCAGTTTTAGCTTGTTTTTACGCGCATTAATTCATGATCACGTGAGCAGGTAGGTAAGGCAGAAAATAGGGCTCCCACCTTACAGAAGACACGGAGCCTCAGAGGGACCAGGAGCTCGTTGCCAGGAAGTGACAGGACTGGCCTCCATGCCTTGTCCGCACTGTTCTGCGTGCACCATTCCTTCCTCCCCACCCCCTTCTCCTTCACGCCAACCCCCTCCCCGCCACCATGGGTGCTGATCAGTCACCCCAGCCCTGAGGCCCGATGTGCGGTAGTGGACACGTGCCTGAGACCGGCGTTGCTCCCCATTTCATCCCTAGTGCCCAGCACCAAGGGCTTGGCACATAGTAAGCTCTTAGTGAATGTCTGATGATAAATGGAAGACAGTGCCAATGCAGAGGCTGGCATTACCGTGTCACCCTACCTTGACAGACCGGGGCTGGTGCTGTCCACTGTCCCCCGTCAGCGCAGCGAACTGTGTCGGCTCCTCTCAGCTCGAACCCCTCAGCGCAGCGGAAGCTGCAGTTGGTGTTGTACTGAAATGCTCTCGGGGACAGGGAGCACTCCATGCTTCCATGCACCAGGTTCTCCAGTGGCTCGCATGTAATGGCTAGACAGACAAAGGCATCATCTGAAACCGGGTCATGGGAGGGATCGGATACATCTTTCTATCCACATTGCCAGGATGTTCAGAACCCCGAATCCTCGCTTTTCCACAAGGAAGCTGCCCGGATCACCTCCCCACGCCCGCTTTGCCTGGAGCACTGTCCTGCCCTTCAAGTTCCCGCGTAGACTTCACTTCTCCTTAAGAGCCCTCCCTGCCACCCCAGCTTGGGGGTGTGCACTCTTTCGCGTGCTCCCACAGCCCCTGCCCTCACACTGGCCATGCCCTGTGGTCACCCTGCCACTTGGAGTGCAGTCTCCTGGGGGAGACTAGCAGTGTCTGGTACATCGAAGGTGCTCTTGAAATAGTTCCTGGAGTTACTGGTGGAATTGGGTCTGGGAAGACGAGAGATGGAGCAGGCTGGCCTTTTCAGGAAAAAGCTGGCCTAGCCGAGCTCACTGTTGATGCTCTATTACCTAGTCCTGTAAAGTGACCCTGAGTGGGCTTGGTCCCTGGAACACAGGATGTCATCCTAGTCAGGCTTCAGCGGCCAGTGTGAGTTCCCGAGTGAGTTCTGTTCTGCTAACGGCTGTTTTCTTCATGCTCTTCCCTGATAAAGCATTTTGTCTCCAGGCTATTCCTGGGCTTTTTTCAGAGCATAAAGACCACCATAAGACTTTCTGGATTTCACAGGACCGGAGCATTTAAGAACCAAAGATCCTCTAGCGTTCCTCTCTCACTTTACAGATGAGAGAGGTGAGGTCTGCAAGTTTGAGTGACGTCCCTGGATTGTAGCGGAGCTGGGCTTGTAACCTAGGTCTCCTAGGAATTCATGAAGAACTTTAATTTCTTGCCCCCCTTGTCCTCTTTCTGCCTTATAAGCCAACGATGTGAGGCATGTGCCCAGAACTCAGTTTTGTGGCAGCTGCTCACTGCCTTGCATTCAACCCCAGCCTCTTTCAGTGCTGTGTTCCTTTTGAGCCTGCAGCACAGTAGAAGCTGCACTGGGAGTTGAAAGAGAAGTTCCCCAGAGTGTGGTAACAGTCCATGAGCACGTGCTGAGGGAGGTCAGGCTCTCCACACTCTCTGGCTGTGGGGACAAAAGACTGATGCTTTCACTGCGGCCCTAAGACAAGGTCAGGTTGGCTGAAAGCTGGAACTAGGTTCACCCTGGCGCCGTCTAGGCTCCTGACCCAACCCGGGCATCTTGGTTCCTCTGGATGGGCTGCCTCTTGGGAAATAATCATTCTTTCACTGATTTTTCCATCAAACAAGTGAAATTGGCCTTTGTTTGGCTACCTTTACATTCCCCCTTTGCCTTCTGATATTTTTCTGAGCAAACGTTCTCTCTAAGAATAAAGTCTTTTAACCCAGAGCGTGTGTGTGTGTGTAGGAGCAATTCGAGTGGGCTAGACGGACAGATGGCAGAGAGGGCGAGCCCTTGGTCCCTGGGGTCTCCAGCACGGCTTCCTCCCCGGCATCACCTCCTGCACAAGACCTGTGAGCACAATCATACCCACAAGACAGCCGTCTCACCATATTCACACTCTGGTCCGTAGAACCCAGGGTAGCAGGAGCAGCTGTAGTTGCCGATGGTCTCCACACACTCTCCTTGTTTGCTACAGGACGTGTCGTGGCACGAGGCTGCATAAACACAGAAGGGTCAAAATTGAGCGCATTGCCAGGATGCGCGAAGAAAAACCGGCTTCTTGTTCCAAGCACAGACTCAGCCCCTCTCGGGTAAGACGGAGGTGGCTAGATGACAGAAACCAGTGTCCTCTGGACAGCCAGCCTGTTGGCCGTGAAGGGCATTGCATGGCTTCTGCTCTGGGCTGCATTTGGCGCTGCCTAAGGAGAAATTGCTGGTAACGTCCACCCTGGCCTTTGAAGAACAGGTCGTTAATTAATTAATCTGATAACAAATAAATTATTTATAAAATGAGGCCTGACTACATGACAACTACTTACGGATGTTTTCCTTCAGCTAGGAGCTTGGGCGAGGAGAGGGATAAAATGGAGGGAATACTCCGAACTGTGTATTCTGCTCCCTATTGTGTTGAGGGCTTCTGAGGGGAGGCGTTTATAATCTAGAGCGTTTCAAACATATATGGCAGAGTGTGGCATCTGTAAGATGGCTTATTCCAGAAGAAGCTTCCGAGTTCCCAGGGCTCCCTTGTTCAGGGCGGTCAGTGCTCCCCAGCCCTTCCCAGGGTCTCAGTGCTGCCCAGGGCGGGAGGGGCCCCGGGAAGCCACATAAAAAAGATGGCATCCGTCCTGGCACGAGGCGCATGGCTACAGGAAGAGCAAGCTTTCGTGCACGCCTGCTTAGCCTGGAACCGGGATAGCTGAGGAGCAAATATACCCGTCCACACGTTCAGCCACCTTGTCCTTTTCCTGACCCCCCAACGCCCACCAAAGCCCAACGGACCTGAAGATGTGTTGTCACTGAAAGGATTCTCTAAGGCCCTTGTGATCCTTGGTCACATTCTCAAATGGTCTCACGAGAATGTAGAGCAAAGAGGGTGGTTGCCTGTGTGGCTAAAAAACACCCACTTTGGAGTCAACATGCATTTGAAACTGGCTCTGTCAACAAGTAGCTTAGAACCCTGGGCAGATTCCTTACTAGCTCTGAGCCTTTCCTTCATCTGCAAAATGAGGGGAATGGAAGGACGTGCTTGATGAGGTTCTCATGGGGACTAAACGCAGCTGGTACGAAATGCGTTCATGACACGTGAACAATGCCCAGTTGGCATGAGTTACAGCGTGCCTCCTGGGGCTGGGGCCAAGTTCCCTGTCACCTCTGATTCTCTCTTATACGAGGGCACAGTGGCACAGAAAGCTCTGAACATACGCTTTAGGAGATGAAAGTCTCCTGAGCATCTATTTCTTCAGCTCTGAAATGAGAAGAGTGGGCCGGATGACGTTAAAATTTCCTTCTAGCTTCAAAAGTCCAGCTTTCTCTAACCCTGACCTTTTGTTTTTCGAGGTGCTCAATCATGCTGCTGATTGACAGTTTGTCCTATTTACACGTCCCTGATTCTGTGACTCTGTGTTCCTGACTCAGTGGATGAGTCAACGAACCAGGGATGGCTTTTTTTTTTTCCAAACAGACAAATGTCAGCATAGAGAAGACCCTACCTGTATAGCACAGCGCCCGCTTCCTTCTTCCGCACGGTTCATCATTCCACTTGCCGGGGGCCGACGACCTCTTGATGTAGATCTCCACACAGTCCTGATTATTCTTCTTGTTGTTGGGCTCATTGTCAGCCCAGTTCTCAGCCTCCTCAGTGAGAGCCTTTTTGGTTCCCACCCAGGTCCAAGTATTATTGATCTTTCGGATCCCAATCCAGTAGTAAGCCTGATAGTAAGGTATGGCGTCATTGAGGTAGGTGATTTCATTTTTATTCTGGATGGCCACTAGGTCTGTGTAGTACCTCTTGCAGAAGTTCCGGGAGACGCTCCATGTGTATGCATGGCTGCTGTAGTTATAGGTCCACGCGGCCACTTCATTCTGGTTCATTAGCTCTAAGGGAAGGAGAGTGAGTGCCTGGTTAGCATCTCTAACCCAAAGGGGGCGGTGAGCATAAGGCTATTTCTGGGTAGTCAGATGAGCTTCTGACCAGAAGACCAACACCCAAACACGACTCTTTCATGTCTGATCTAGTCGTTTGAGGGAAAAAAAGTGGTTTCCATCTTTCACTTAAAAGTGGACAGGCGGTCACAGAAGGAAAATGTCCTCTTCTGAGGACTCTTAGTATTAAAGATTTGGAATCATAAGATACCAGAGTTGGAAGGGACCTTCCAAGTCATCTAGTCTTCTCCTTTTAGAAATGGAGGCGATAGGAAGTAATTAGCCAAGTCCATATTAAGCGACACGGACAATGTCTTGATGGCTGCCTCATATCTGTGGGTCCTGCCTCTTCACATGGAGAATAAGATGCTTTAGGACCCAGAGCCTACTGCTGGCCCAGCCTCATCACCCGCCACGTTTATTTTCTCAGCAAAACAGAATTCCCACTTCCATGCCTTTGCACATGCTCTTCCAGCCACGCTGGCTTCCCACGCCACGTATGCCTGCTGGACACTCTCTCCTCTCCTTCCCATGACTTCCCCAGGTCGGCGTGGTGTTCCTTCCGCCACGCGCCCACCTCCACCTCCCTGAGTGCTGTGTATTGTAATGTCTGTTGCTATGACATGGTCCACACCAGCTAGACTGTGAGTCCTGACGGTGGTCTCTTTTTAGCTCTGGATCCTTAACACTGAGCATAGAGCGTGGCACTTAACAAGTGTTCAGGAAATACTTGTTGAGTGACACACAGCAGGCTTGTGGCAGAGGCAGGTTAGAAGTCAGACCTCCTGATTTGCAATCTTACACTCCTTCCACTGCTCTGGGCTGCTTGTCTTTCATAAGTGACTTCCTCCATCTCTGCTTACTCACTTGTTAAAATAGGGTTTAAAAGAGTCCCTTTGAAGAGATGTTTGTGATATGAAATGAAGTAAAGAATGTGCCCTTCGGAAGCATCAAGGGCAGGCGCGATGATGCAGCATGTTGTTAGGGGACAGTGGGGGCTCCCCCGGGCCAGCAGAGGCATCTCCCACATGAGGAGGTGTACAATGGCAGCAATCAGGCCTGGAAATGGCTCGCTTTCCTGTTTATGAAGCCTTCTTCCTAGTCACCCCTCTCCTCTGCCGCCTGCATGAGAGCCAGTAATGGTTGTCCCTCCCTCACCGACACTTTCGTTGCATTGTTTTGCCAGGAAGACTTTCTCTGATTATGACCTTTGTGGACTCTCATTCATTTGGCCTTTGTAGGTCCCTTCGTCTCTAATAATGTGTTCGAACCTATATTTTACAACTGCATTGGTGTAAAGACGAATCTATTAATATTACGTACTAAGAGATTTTCTTGGACCTAGAAGGAAATCAGTTTCAGAGAAATTAAAACGTGTTTGTGGGTTCCTAAGAGTAATGTAGGCCTGTGCCTACTGCGCCTATTGGATAAATAGGCCCTGAATATATATATTCATTTAAGTTCTTCTTGAAGCCTTTTCTACCGACATGATGGTGTCAGGTGCATTTTTCTCCCAGGAATCTGAGCTCAGGCAGCTTCCCATGCCTCACAACAGCTGGCTACCATCCCTAATTTCTCCTACTGGGGGAAGTTGCTGTCATGACTTAGGGCCACATGAAGGGTTAGCATAATGTTTACCGGTCATCAGGGCGCTGAAGCAAAGCAGTTGGGCAGTTCCGAAGACCACGCTCTGAACTCGCCAGCTCCAGGTGGTTTTGAGGCAGCTAGCCTGAAACAGGGAAAGGACACTTCCATTTAGTATTCACGTGTGATTGACATGGTCCAAAATATTCCAGTTAATCATTCTAGTGAGTTAGAACCCCGCCTGTTTCCATGGAGAGGTGGCCCATGCCCCACTTCCCTTTCTTGTTTCTCCCTGCTCTGCTTCGAGTCCTCCCCTCGTTGGACACTGCACCAACCAAGCTGTGTTGCTTCTTCATGCATCTGAGTGATATTGATTGAGGAACGACTTTGTGCCACTAATATTTTTCTTGTATAATACATTTTGTAATACAGTAATACCTTGGTTTGCGAGCATAATTCGTTCTGGAAACAAAGTACTCGTATTGCAAGACATTGCTCATTTACCACGTTAAAATGTATTAGAAATGTTTGCTCGTCTTGCGGAACTCTCGCAAAACCACGTTACTCGCAATCCAAGGTTTTACTGTATGCGTATAAGACAAATACTGTCATTATCATGATGAAATAATCTCCCTTTCCAAACTGGCATGCCCTACCAAAGGATACTAGGAAGTCACGTGAAAACTCCCTGGCCCACGCAGATAGCGTCTGACCTATACGGTGAGCATTACTAAGTATGCTGCGTGTGTTATGCCGTCTATTCTGTCTTATTGGTCCACGTTCTGTCCTCTTGCCTTACCATTTCAGCATATATCTATGATACTATTCAAGGTTTAGCATATATGAATGTGCACATATATAGTTAATATTTATTGACACACATAATATGTGTGCACCCCCCTGGATCTATATGGCAAGTATTATTTCTTACGCGCTCCCTTCTGTAGGGATTCCATCAAACCTATTAACATTTACCAAATGTTTGTAGACAAGTAAGCTCTATAAATGCTCATCTTCTCCACCTCCCTCCTGTGGCACGTGCAAGTACGGGAGCTGGAGGGTCTAAAATAGCATTTTCCAAATTGCAGCCGTAGAACCTGACTTTGAAACTAGAGCTTTTTCCACTTTACTCTTTAACCTTCCTAAACCTCCAGGCTTCCAAATCTATGCATCGCCATTGGAGATGACAGGGAATGTGACATGGCCAAGCTGTGCTGCAGCACAGGTACCCTTCCAACGCCACCCCAACATAATCGCCAACATAAAAATAGTGCACTGGCTTCACAACTGAGGCTTTATCACTCTCCCAGCCAGCTTGCCTCCTAAAAGCCCTGCTATGTGGAAATTCTGAATCACCACATACCACGCTCCATGATGGATGATATAGGGTATAGGGGTGGTGTGTGTGTGTGTGTGTGTGTGTTTGTGCACATGCACTGTTGACTAACGCCTGACCCAATAGTGGGGCAGACATAATTCAAGTCAGCAAGCGTCCCAGATACTGGGTATATCTTTGATGAAGGAGCCTAGCACCCTTCTATCTAGGAGTTCCTGAATCCTGGCTTTGATAAGTAGGCAAACTTGGTGTTCATATGAGCCAGGTCACTAATCAACTGGCCACTGCAGGACCACTGGTCAGACACCGAGGGCATCATAAAGTTATGATTTATGGTGCTGTTTATTTGCACAGGAAGTCTCCTTCCTGGGGACTAATCCCATGATGTTCTGTCTGGATTATGTTGTATCGCCACCTAACAGTGGGACGACATTTCTGCTCCGTACTCACCAAGTACCATACCATATGCCACAGCAGAAATCTTTAAACCAGGATGAGCCTGACTTCCCAAGGGGTATACAAGCCAGGAGAAGTTAAGTAGATCTATGTTCCAGCTTCCAAAGTATATTTTTCCTAAAACCAATTTGCCTAAGAACGAGGGTGCCATTCTACAAAAGGAATCAAACCGTTTACTAATCGGACTCTTATTTATTACAGGGCCCTGCCCCTGTACATAAGAAACCCTGGGGTACCAAACGCAGACAGTCCAAAATATCGGTATAGGAATTGAGACTTTGGGTGCTCCAGATGATAGTGTGACAAATCTGGAAGTGCACTGGTTTCCGTTTCTCTCCTTCCATCAACTTTGATGGAGGACCCATTTAATTTGTCAGATGCTCAGCCATGGAGTAAATGTTGACGATACATCACTATGTAATTTTGTGCATATAACTTGGAAGGAGTTCAAAGATCCGGTTTCCTTTCCTTATTCATGTGAATAAGAGGGGAAAAGCCCCTCTTCTCATTTAGAGATGCATCTTCAATAGCATTTAAAATATAAAAGTTTAACTTCCATATCCAAATTTGTAGTATGTTTATGCTATTTTGTTTAATTATTTACTAAAAGTCATCGTCATACTATAACGCAATCAAAAGGGAAAAACTTTGTCAGAGACTTAGGATTTCAGGAAATCAAATCTTTTCAATTGAGAGAGAATGCAAGTGAGCTGTTTTTAAGCATTTTAAGGTTTTAGAGGATTGGGAAGCACTTCTGATCCAGGACAACATCTAAGGAAGGGAAACGCAAGGCATTGTGTGTCCCCTGCTTTAATCTGACCATACTGTCTGTGTTATAAAATCACCAACACCAAGGATCGCCTCTCAGAGATTATTTGAGAGGAGAGCTGTAGGAGACCGTCAAGATCAAGTGCCCAGTCAATCTAGCGTTTCTCCAGCGTTGACCAGCAGGCCTTGGGGCCACCGCCACTCCCCCGACTGAGACTCGGTGAGTTGGGACGATTAGCCCAGGCTCGCTCACCTGAGTGAATGTATGTTAGGTTAACACAGTGATTCTTACCCTCACGGGGCTCATGATCTCCTTTGAAAGTCTGATAAAAGCCATAGTCAGGTTTCTTCAAAAAATGCACACTTAGAATTTTCTAGACAATTTCAGAAGGTTCATGGACCCACCAAGTCTGTCCATGTTTAATGGACCCCAAGTTCAAATCTCTGTGTTAACTATAAGGCAGCACCTTGACTCCTTGGCAACTGGCAAAGGTTTTGTGTGTGAGCATGGAGGATGGAGGACCCTGAAAACTTTTGTTTTGTGTAATGATTTCCTCGGGAACGTCCTTGGGGTGGGCAGGCCTTCTCACACCTGCTTCTGCTCTCTCTACAGTGTTGTCTTTGGGACAGTGCTGGTCTAGGCTGCTGAAGAGTTAAGGGCTCTGTCCTTGTCACTAAGCAAGTTAAGAGTTGAAACAAGAGGAAATCCTCTGCTAATTTCCACTTCAGTGTTCTCTGGCAGCCACATCAAACTGGGAAGGAATCCAAGCCCACGTCCTTAGAATCACACCCTGTGATTATGTAACCATCAGCAGGGCTGCTTCGCACCATGAGTATCTTTCATTTTACTTTTCCAAAGAACTGAAGTGATGGCAGGGTGAAGAGAGGGACAGAGAGAAAGTGAAGGAGCCCGTGTTTTTCCCTGGACCTCACTTTGCATAGGAAGAAGTCCTAGATGCCAGGAGGAAGTCCGGTGGCTGCCAGGGCCCAAGTGCCTTACAAAGGTGGCAGAAATGGTGCCACAAAACAAGATTCCGTTCTATGCTGTAGATCACAGCTTTACACTTTTAGAAGCAGACTTGAACAAGGCCCCCTCCCTGAGCTCTTTGTCACCTGCCCAGATACTGCCTAGCTTCTCATCTTCCACCATAGTTCAGCTTTCTTAGCGTATCTCCCCTCTACTCCCCGCCCCACCAGCCTATGAAACTGCTCTTGCTAACTTTACCATTAGTATCCTAATTAGCAAACCCAATGAAGAGGTTCCACTCTTATCTTCCTTGAACTTTCTGCAAGTGTCAAATACTACTGCCTACTTCCTTAAAAATGCTTCCCTTAGTTCTTCTTTTGATTCTTCTCTGATATCTTGAGCATGTTTTTCTGATTTTTCCTCTGAATTTGCCTCAACCCTCTGCCATCACTTGCAGCGACAGAGGCTCCCCCCGTGACCTGTTTCTCTTATCACCCTGCTGCTTCCCTGGGGCTCCTTATGGTCATTTGTTTGCCAATGGCCCCCAGTCGGCATCTCCAGCCTGGACTTCCCCCCTGAGCATGAGGTCTGGATTCCAAATGCAAAACAAACATCAGAGCAGGCAGCTGGAGCGAGATGCTACAGAGGCTTTTCAAGGACGGGGTTTTGGCTTCCTCGGGTCTGAATCTCAGCCATAGCACAGAGCATATACCTGTCGCTTAGTAAATATTTTGTGGTCGAATGAACAAATGGGTGGCAACAGCAGGGGAATGACTGAAAGTAGGACAGAAGTATGTGCTGGATAGGAAAATGTTGGGAAAATGTGTGATAAGTATAACTAAGTATGTTATGGTTACAGCCGTGATTGTAGCAAGCTTAAAAGTGTATTATGACTAGGTAGACTAGCATAAGAAGGCTGTGCAAAAAAAACCCCCCAAAAAACGTTCTTGGCACTTTGTCTCATTCTATTTGAGTGCGAGAGAAACAAGGGGCATGATGGCTCATATCCCGAGCGAGAGAACTGGGAGTAGGGCTCACTCTTAACTCCATGCCAGGAGAGGGAGGGGTAGTGGCGGAAGCGTGCGGGACTCGAGGCCTGCAGAGGCGGTGTGTCTTGGGAAAGCCGGGAAGGGCATCCCATAGCAGCAGCTCTGAGAAGTGGGGGAGGGCGGAGCGGATTTCAATCTAAATTCACTCTGGTGGGTGTGACTCTCTGAAAGTCTTTAGCCCCAAAGGGAGCTCGTAGAAGGGATGCATGTGCGTGCTACCAGACAGCATCACCTGCCCAAGCCCCGTAACCTCCCTGCCCATGGAGACCCTGAAGTCATCCATCAAGTGGGACCAGGGAGGGAAGACCAGGCATCTCTTCCTTGTCCAAACCCTTCACATTAGTCTGTCACCAAATCCTATTGCCTTTACCTTGTGACGAGACACTGGCCATTCTCCAAGTTTCCACTTTACTGCTATAGCACTAGTTCAGACATCATCATTTCTTTCCTGGACCAGGGCAGTCACCTTCCTGTCTCTCCTCCCCAGGATTGCCCATCTCCCATCTTTATAATGCAGTCAGAATGATATTTCTAACACAAACATCTGATCACATGGCTTCACCACCTGAAATCCATCAGCTGTTTCTATTCCCTGAGCAGTACATACAAACTCTTCAAGATGACACAGGTGAGACCCTTCAAGATGTGGCTTCTTCCTATTTGTCTAGCCTCATCTCCTGCCATCAGCCCTCAATTCAACACCCCCCACCACATAATTCTACAATGCATTTACAACAAAACACCTTATGGTTTCCAGAAAGTGCTGTTATATTCCCTATGTTCTTCTTATGCACAGAGCACCCTCTTTTTCTGTGTATGCCGAGCTCTCCAAGTGCAAAAATCTCCTCCTCAAAGGAGCCTGCCCTATCACCTGTTCCTTCCCACCCACCCCTGCCAACAGACACACACACACACACACACACACACACACACACACCAGGATAGGCACTCCCTTATTACTGTCTGTGGGCCTTCCCACTGGTTTATTAAAGCCTGCAGGGTGCCAGCCACTATTAGAAGTACCAACGTTCTAATGATAAAAACAGACATAATTCCTGTGATCACAAGATGTACCTTCTATTGAGGAAGACAGACAATGAAATGAACACCAATGAATAAGACAATAGAGCTAACCAAGTGAACGTGAAAAATAGGAGAGAGTTGTAAGTGACAGGTAGGGAGTTCAGGTGGGGTTAAGTGTAGAGTCATAAAAAAAGGGGGTCAGGGCAGGCTTCTCTAAGGAGGTGGCGTTTCAGCCGAGAGCAGAACGACCAGAAGAAACCAGCCAGGAGGAAGAACATTAAAGACAGAAGGAAAAGCTAATCTGAAGGATTTAAGGTGGAAGCGAAATGTGGAGTCTTCAAAGAGCATGAAGACACCAGCGTGGCTGGAGTGAAATGAACAGGAGAAGGAGGGCGTGCGATGATGCTGGTGACAGATCGCTTTGAGCTTTGGGGACTTAAACAAGGGGCTGAGATTTCGTTCTAAGTGCAATGAGACACTCGGGGCAGAGCTGTAGGGAGGATTTTCGGAGAGGCAGTGATGCGGTCTGATTGAGGTTGAAATGGGTGGGGGAGGCGTTTAGCTGCAAAGGTAGGTTGGGGCCAGATCTCATGAGTCTGAAATAACAGTCGCAGTTGGGAACCCAGCCTCCAGCGTTCTGAACAGAGAAGCATCTGAGCAAATGCATCTACCTGGTGGTTTTGATGAACTAGAAGCAGGGAGGCTGCGCTGGAAAAAGAGGAAGCCACCGCAGTAATCCCAGAGAGAATTAAAGACACCAGGCCTGAGCTGGGGTCAGTGGGGTTACAAAAGGGGAGGTGGATGGGACGGTCATTGAGGGGGCAGAGATATACAGCGTGGTGGTGGCAGAGGCCAGATTTTATTAATACCAGGCATTACAGCTGCCACACTATTATTTCCCTGAAGTTTCTGGGTGGTGGTGGTGGTGGTGGTGTAGCACAGATATTAGTAGCCTCAGCTTAAAAATAGAAAATGAAACACAGTGAAAAAGAAAAAAAGGGGGTCTCTAAGCTGAACAGCAAATTAGAACTAGGAACAGGAGGAGACCTCCCCAGGCATCGACACTAAGAATCAAAGCATAGATTTAAATTAGACAACTGGTCGCCATTATTTAGGGCAAAATATTAGCATTAAACATAAAGTAACATGCCTTAAAAGTGTTTAAAAGTCTGTCAGATCATGGCTAAGTTATATCCCTACAAATATAAAGGATTCACCTGGTATTTCATGTTATAAAATTTCTGTTTGGCTTTTCAATCAGAGAAGCTACACACCTAGAAGACCATGGAATGAGCATCATTGATGAAGATGCCATGTGCCCACTGCCTGGGGTGAGGCCTGGGGCGAGGCCTGGGGCCTTTCCTCAGTGCTGTCTGTTTCTCAGCAAGTCATGTTGACCTTTGAGGATATGCTTGAGAAGCTCGTATTCACAGAATTCTGAAGCTGGACATTCTAAGAGCTGGTGGCCAGCCTAGCAGAGTAGGAACCATTTAGCTGCATTTTGAAAAACAGGTAATAGAAGGAAGAGTAAGAACTAGAAGCCACAGACCTAAGATGGTTAAAGGTATTCATGGAAAAGAATCCAGACCTGCTCCTTAGCCCCTAAAACCTTGACTAATACCGGCATCATTTTACTGGAAGTATCTAGTCCAGAGCTCCAACCCCCGCCATCCCCAAAACCCCTCATCTCTACCTGATTGAAGAAACCCACCGATAAACCTTAACCTCCTTCCTCAGGTCCTAGAGGTTCATGGGAGCCACTCTCTGAACTTGAAACTAATTGCACACAAGGGTTGAGGTTCCTGAATTCCCGAAAGTGCAGTGTGTTCAAGGGCAAAGGAGGAGGTCTTGTCTTTAGAATATTTAAAACAATCCCGGGCTTGGGTCCTTAGTGCTTCATTGCAGATTTCCAGTTTCCTTTCAGGATGCGACATGGAGCTTCTGAGCATAAAGCCTAGATGGTAACAGGGTGGGACTCATCATCTGAGACCCACAAGGAGCTCGGGGAACCTTGGTGCATAAGTGGGTGTTTGCATTTCATTTGAGAAGAGGACCTGTACTTTTCATCCCATGTTCAGAGAATCCATGATCCAATGTGTTAACCTAGCCCTGAAATAGAGGAGGACCCCAAAGAGAACAGAAGGAAGGGAGGAAGAACTGCGCATTGAGTCCAGCTGACCAGTTCAGACGTGTGAGATACAGAGGATAAGACAGAAGTCTTATGTCATTAGGACTCAGACTCCTTCCTCTTCCCCCAGTGTCCTCTTCCCCCTATTCTCCAGACACTGAAAACCCTCGTTACAAGAATTGGAAAAGTGCACGATGGTACATTAGAGAGGTGGGTGAATCAGGTAGCAGGGGTATCCCGGAGGAAGAGACCCAAAACCAGACAGCCGGGTCCTCTCCGGTCACAGGCTGCAGGATTTGGGACCCTGGGCCTGTGTGAGATGCCCCTGGTATGCTGAGGGTAAGACCGCATGTGTCTTACCTAGGATAATAGCAATGAGCTCAAGAATGCCTTTTTCCTTGGGTCTTCCCTGGATCCCAAATTCCACTAAACCCAAGAATTTTCTCTTTCTCATAACAATACTAGCTAACATTTACTAACCAGTAATGAAGTGCCTCAGAGCTAAATGCTTTCAGGGTAATATTATTCCATCCTCTCGATGATACTCTAGAGTAGAATACTATTATTACACCCACTTTACAAACGAGGAAACTGAGTCGCTGACAAGATTGAGACTTAGGGCAGAGACGGAGACACCACGTGGGTATACCACACCAGCCCCGGCAGGCTCCTGGGGCTCCGAGAAAGACATAGGAGGGCCAGGGATGAGAAGCCCGTCAAACTATGGGCTTGTCTCAGGCACTTGTTCAGCTTTGCATTCAACCCAGCAAGAAGGGCGATCCTGGAGGTCAGGGTTTACCAAGCTCTGCTTCCAGAGAGCTCCTGCAAGCCCTAAGGGGGCCAGAGGCCAGGAGCCCAGAGGCAGACAGCATCCAGCCTGACACGCCACACCCAGCCTGGGAGGGTACAGCGGCTTCACGGCAACATGGAAATCACCTCCGCTCTCGAGGTGCATGGAAGGGTCCGAATGACAGCAGGTTTTTAAACACTTGCAAACCCTGGAGGTCTGTGCCACGTGAAGCTCCCTGACTACTGCTAGTCCTCATTTTCCAAACCTTAGCTTGCCCGAGTCAGCCCCAAACTGCTTCCCCTCACCCACTTCCCATAGGAGAGAGAAGCGAGCTTACTTACCATCTCCTCGGCCCTCGGCTGGCTTTCTGCCGTCCACCCAGCCCACACTTCTTATAGTCTCGCTGCCTCCCCTCAGGGTCAGGCTGTTTAGATAAGCAACTTCCTTCCAAAAATTCACCACAGCCCTTCCCACAAAGTCAGAACGCTGATAATACAGGAGCGATGCTGGCAGCCGAGAAAGGGCAGTCACCGAGGGGCAGGGGGGTCACCTAGTTCCACGGGAGATGGTCTGGAGACAGGGGTCAGTGTGACTCACTCCTGGACATCCCAGGCTGAGCAGTGCAGGAATCGTACCCACACCCCAGGGGTCACGCTTCCTTTGATTCTGATATGAGCCCCATTTAAGGTCAGATAATTGGAAAACACGCTTTGTCTTAATCACTATGTTTAGTGTCCATTTTCCAGTTATTGTGAAATCCCAGTGTATGTTGACTATTCCAGTAGCATGCTGAAGGAAAGGAGCAAAAAATAGTAACAAAAATAATTGGATAGGAAAATAAAAAGCCACTGAGGGTTTTCTGGCAATGAGTGTGTGTGTGTGTGTGTGTGTGTGTGTGTGTGTGGTGGGGGGTGTTAGAAAGGGTTTCGGAATGAAATATGAAACAGACATGGCTCATTATTAGCAAGGAACTCCTGCTTCTCAGAGCAGTAACAAAGGTGGGAAAATGGAAGGGTTAGTGTGCGGTAGGGGAGGCTGGCTGGCACAGCGTGAAGACCGTGATGGAATTGCCTGAGACTCATCGTGGCTCTGAGTGTGACCATCCACTAGGCCAAGGACTGCTTTTCACAGAACGATGATGACAGCCGAGCTTACCTGGCAGCGTTGTTGTGCGATTCGATGAGTTAACCTGTGGAGAGGGCTCAGGATAATAATACCTGGTACACAGTCGGCACAGAATCAGTGTGAGCCATTATTATGTTCAGACTTATGGTCCGACAATGAAATCAAGTGTCCATATAGTTAGCGCTGAGTCAGAAAACCATAACTCCAGCGTATCCCCTCAAAATTCCAGTTGTGCTATCGTGGGTGCGATGCTTCACCTACTGCATGGTTGTTACAGCTTATAAGTGGGCATCTCATAGACAGATGAAAAAGAGAATAACGTGGAAGTTTCGGGAAGGAAGCCCAAAGATGAAGATGTCTTAAGGAGCTTGGGGCTACATGTGCACTTTGGAATTTGCGACCGAGAGGAAGGGAAGAATGACATGATTGGAAATAGAAAGGATGTGGTGATGAAGGAATGAGAGTGGGGACAAGGGACGCTGAGAGAGAGGCAAGGATAGGAAACTTGCAGGCGGCATGAGGTGGCGTCAGAGCCCAGCCCGGGGAGCCAGACTCCCTGGCTCCACTGGCCAGTTGCTGTGTGACCTGCGCAAGGTCCTGCTGTCCTTATGACTCAGTCCCCTCCGCTATGTTAATAAATAAGGGGAATAGTCACAACATCGGAGCGTTAGGACAATTAAATGGATTTGCATGTGAAGTGCTTAAAACAATCCCTGGAACACTGAGACTTATGAGACTTGCTTCCACTTCTGTTCTCATTCTCACCCTCCAGCCCCTCTTTTTGGCGTCGCCTCATTTCTTTTTTGTTAGTTTCTCAGATGGGTATGATTGGTGCTATGTAGACTATGGGTTGTTATTGATCATGTGTTGTAAATTGGATAATGTTACATTTTGGGGATTCTGAGGGAGGTAGAAAAGGATTCCTAGGACTAGAAATGGGAAGAAAATACCATCTGACTTCATGTAAAAGCTCGTATGGATACAGTCCATGTAGAGTACTTAGCTTGTTCCTAATTGTGTGGCCATTAAACATACACTCTAATTCCAGTATCGTTTAATTAGTAGTGTTATCTGTCTCACAGATGTTCTCTCCTCTCTTCATATTATACTATAAACCCCCAGGAGGCAGGGGCTGTAGCTTCTGTGAGGGAGTCTTGCTTCTCCCGTGGCACCTAGCAGAGCGCAGACACCTGCGGATTCCTTGATGACACCGCTGGCTGTGGGCAGGCACAGTGAACGTGACCCCTCCAGCTCCCCTCCACACTCTACTTCTCTCATTACAGTGCTGCATTCCCAGGCACAAGAAGCAGGGAAGTGCCTTCCAGACTGCAGACAGGGTGCTAGCACAGGGGACTCAGTAATGAGCAAAACCATCGCGGAGCTTACGGACATTTAATAGTGGGGTGGGCATCAAGATATTAAATAAAAATCACACCAATTAATGCAGGAAGAAAAAAACATGGTGCAGCGAAAGTGTATGATGGGAACTTGACCCAGGAAGGCTCCCTGTTCCCCGAGAATGACTTCAGAGCTGTGAGGTCTTTATGTGAATAAGCATTGCCACACTTTGGGGGAGGTGGGGGGAGGAACATTCTAGATCTGACAAGGCTTTGAGCAGCCTGGGAGCCTCCTGACAGCCACAGTGGCTGGAGGGTGGCCACAGAGGCTGAGAGGTAGGGTGTCCCAGGCCAGGCTAAGGCTGTGTCTTCATGTGCACCATCTGTCATCAGGTCAAACAGAAGACAGTCAATTCCTCATGGAGGTTCACAGGCACAGCTGGTCCCTCTATTCCTGCGTAACAGGCTGTAGGATGAACAAGTGAGAACTTGAAACAAAACAATGTACAGCATTTCCCCCTTATTGTTAATATAATACATGTTTATTAAAGGAAAAAAAAAGGCAAGAAATTTGAGAAAAACACAGGAGAAAAACATCACCTATAATCCTGTCACCAGTTGGAAGTGGAATTCAATTGTATATTCAATACAATGCTTTTTCCATTTGATAATATATCATAAACCTTTCTGATGTTTTAAAATAGACTTCTGCTCAAGTTACAACTGAAAAGAAAACCCCTATATATAAGTAGATGTCAGTATAGCTATAGAGACAGCGTGACGATGAGGAATGAAGGAGAAACGCAACCTTCCCACAACTTCAATGGCCTTATCAAAATATCCCAGACAAGGGCGCTTTTTGGCCATTTGCCGAAGTGTCTGTCCCTCCCCGGCGGCTGACATGTCAGGAACGAAGATGTCAGCTCGCCCCATGTGGCTATAGGACGATATCCTACACAAGCTCCGTGGGCTTTGAACTCTTCCTGCTGAAAGTCTATTTAAATTTGAGTGTGGTGCTCTGATCAAGCACGTCTTTGCTCTATCTTGGTGCTCCAGTGTTTGAAGGGGAAGGAAAGGCGAGGGAATCAGTCATCTTGGCCGAGGTCTCACACAGTAAATATAAATTTTCACAAAGCTGTCCACCACATGGCCTCACATAGAAACCGGGCTGCTGTGCTTATGCCCATTAGCCCTCACAAGGACTTGTTTATGCAACCTGCACATCTTTGTGAAGACCTGCTCTGCCCTGTCAACCAGGCTGCCCACTGGAGACACAGGGGTGAGGGAGACAAGTTCCGGTCCTCAAGGAACTCTAAGACCAGTGGAGACACAGACATGGAAACAGATAATGATGGCCAGGATGGAGGAGGCAGTGTAACCCAGGGTCTTGTGCCAGCCCCACGGAGGACAGTCAGCTAGCTCACTCTGATGGCGGCAGTGCAGAGGTGGTTAGGAAGGGCACTTAGAGGACATACCCCTTCGGCAGAGTGGAATACGCCCTGTTCTGCTGTGCAAGCTCAGTGGTTAGACATGCACACAGAAAATACGCTGCACTCAGTGGATGAATTAGGAAGTGGTTTTTCTCATTAAAAGCACTTTTACTACTCCAAAAGCGTGTTGTGTCCGGGGCCCTTTGACTACCTTTGGCTGTGATAACCACAGAAGGCTTATCACCTACACTAGACCACGAGAAACACAGTCAAATGGGTGACACGCTTAGAAATGCCACCACGAGTCAACTGTTTAAAAGTCACTGAGGAAGTGAAACAGAGATCCTGTGTTTATGAGCTGCCACTACTGAGCACTGACGCCTGGGCCAGGCCCTGTGCTAAGCATGTTAGAAGCTGTAGTTCCCCAGGCTTTGAGAGGCAGATGCCATTCACACAGCTGGCCCATCTCCTCAGAGATTATTAGGACATGCATTTTGTCAAAAAGGAAATTGAGGTGTGGAGGGCTAAAGGCCTTGCACGAGACGGCAGAGCTGATAATTAGAAAAGACAGAATTCACATTCAAGTCCAGCTGAAGCAACACTACACTAAAGCCAGGCTTTTATCATTCAACTTGTGAAAAGGTGCTTTCTGGAAAAAGAGGAAGAGGTCATTCTGACCCCCTTCTCTTGGCTTTCTGGTGGGTAGTCTGTGCTCAAAAGCTCTGGTAATTAGAGAGGAATCAAGAGTAAAACTAAAATCAGGCCATTTCTCACACCCCTGTCGGGACACATCTCATCGTAGGGCAGGTTCTTCTGTCACCGAGCACAGTGAGCTGAGGAAATGCAGGGGAGAAATGGGTCCTATACTTCCTCCCAAGACACACACACACACACACACACACACACACACACACACACACACACACA